CTGGAACCTTGTGTGCTTTTGCCTGATGCTGTAAGCAGCCAGAACCATTAACAGCAGCATTTGCAAGCTCCACAGTATGTGATTTGCTTTTTTGAGTGGACTCCCCAGAGCTGGCTGCACTGAGTTTGAGATGGAAAACTCAGTGGGGGACCAGCAGGGAGGGGCACGTGCCAGGGAGGGGAGGAATGCTTCCACAAACCCCTACAACCAATATCTTATTTTTGCACAAGCATGATTGTATGAAAACTCTTTTTACCATAGCAAGGACATAGGAATACTTAATTTAGGATAGAGCCTTAGGGGCAGGATAGCTAGAAATGGGACATTTAGATAAAAATTTCAGAGATACCGATAGCATCTAAGCCACTAAGTTCTGAGGTAGGTTCACAGGGAGCTCTTCTGTGAATACAAATTAGTTTATTTACATTTATTAATTATAAATATAACCATATATCATTTATTCATCATCCATTTAGCTGATATTTATATTTTAATTAAGTATTGCTCAACAACTCGTGCACTTACATTCCAATAGAAATAATAATAAATTTGTTCCCAGCTACTCTTTGCATTGTAGTTAATAATTTAGTTCCATTCTAGTTAATAATTCATCTTCATCCTAGTTATTGAGTTAGGTGGTAAGTTCATGAGTACTCATTATATTAATAAACAAATAAGCCCAAAGTGAATCATGCATAGGTTTTCAAACTGTGACACTATGTCTTGAACCAAACATTGGGATTTATCAAATTCTATGCATTCATGAGCCTAAAACAAACAAACAAAAAATTACTCTGCCAATGGCCAGAGTGAAGACTCTGAGCAGAATTCACTGTGAGGTTAACACAGTCCAGTAAAGTCTTTGACAGACTGAACTGGTGCTAACCTCACGAGAGGGTTAAGAGACTAACCAACTGCATTGTTTCCTCTGGTTCTCAGTGATCAGCATGAGAGTTTACAAACCACGTAAGACTCGGTAAATTCAGAGGGCATGCATGCCTTGGTGAGGAGACAGACAAGCTTGCCCTACCAGAAGGGAGTCAGGCTCAGCTGAATTCTCAACTGTCTAGTTCAAGATGGTCTTCCCTGAGGGCAGGGCTTCTCGGACTTGAGTAGGAAGCATGGCCACATGGAGGTTTTGCCAAGGCACAGAAGGCTGGGCCACCCAAGGCACAGATGGCTGGGCCACCCTCAGAGTTTCTGAATTGGTGGTTCTAGGGTGAGCCTGCCTGGATCTGAAGGATGCTGAGGCTATTGTCACTGTGCCCAAGACATGGGAATCAAAGATTTTAGGCCCTATGAACATCCTTCTTGAGCCCAGTTGTGTGGAGTTCTGTGCAAACAAGAGGAAATATGGCTTTCTGGTGGCCCAAAGGCAGAGGAGAGCCTCCTCCCTGGATTTATCAAGGGGACTCAGCTTGAGTAGGGTAGTGGTAGGGGGATGGTCTACAGACAGGGGACTGAGCCTGGGGTTAGATACTTCAAGTCCTTGGCTTCTTTCAGGAAGCTCAGAAGCAACGGCTTTGAGTCTGGGCTGAGGTTTAACCAAGCCTGACCCTCATGGGGCCATCAGAATGTCAACCCGGCCACCACAGAACCAGGGGATCAACTCTAGACAGAAATTCAGTAGGCTGCTAGGACCAAAAATAAATCAATTTAAGGAAAGATAAGCCTCAGTAAGAGTCGTGGGTCAGGGTCCAGGCTTCAGACACCCACAGCTTTTCCCAGTGTGCCATTGCCATAGGCTCTCACATCACCCACAGGGCAGGCTCTGAGCTATCACCATTGGGAGATGGAAGAAACAGGGCTAGATACCATGGCTCCCTTGCTACCACACTTCCCTCTCCATTGCTGGACTGTCTCCCCTTTATCCTTCAAGTTCAAGCAGAATCTGACATCCCCTCTCCAGACTGCTCCTGCCCACTGGGAAAAAGAGATCAGCTCACCTACTGCCCCTTGAAGGACGGCAACCCTCGGCAATGGCCCCGATCAGGGGAATCTCTGGTTTTTCCCAGGGCCAAGAGAGCACCAGTCCAACCTAGATGATGAAGCCGAGGAGACACTAGTCTTTGTGGCCAGAAGCTGTGCATTAGATCTAGGAGAAGACTTTCTGGGATTTGGACAAGATTTGTTTGTTTGTTTGTTTTGAGGCAAGGCCTCACTCTGTATCCCTGGCTGGTCTGGAACTTGCTGTGTAGTCCAGGCTAGCATAGGGATCCACACCTGGCCTAGTATTGGATATGATTAAAAAGTCTCCTGCCTCCTGTCCACAGCTAAAAGTATCTAAGAAATAAGTGGTCACATCTGCTAGAACATTCCCCCTGCCACTAGCACACCTACTTAGTCCCCGAGGGCACACTCACAGTTTCCAATAACTCATAGGGAGAGCATTCAGCCTCTGAACCTCCGTCCTGGAAGCTCAAGCCGACCATTACAGAAATAAAGGGGTAACAGGAGCCCTCTGATAAAGGACCCTCCTGTTCCTGGGTTGCATCCCAAATGAACATGCAGAAACAAAGGCCCAGGGATGAAGAGGTCTCCTGAGCCTAAGGCATGGGAGGGAGCTCACAGTGGCTGTCCTGTGGGTGGGAGTGATGGGAAATAGCTTGGCATGCCTAGCAAGAAGTCTGAGGACCCATAAGAGGGCTAGGACCAAGCCATGGAGCCCTCCTCTGCCAAGCCCAAGGCAGACAAGACAAAGGACACGGCTTGAATGTGTCTCCCAAAGCTCGTGTGTTGGAAATGTGATCTTCAGTGGGTTCATCGAGAGACAGAATCTTTTTTGCAGGGAGGAGTAATTGGGTCTGTCCTCCTGATATACAAATCCATTCACAGATGGATGAACCTGTGGGGTATCATGTGTCTTAGCTACTGTTCTATTGCTGTGAAGAGACACCGTGACCACAGAAAAGAAAGCGTTTAGTCGAGGGCTTGCTCACAGTTTCAGGGGGTGAGTCCACGACCATCATGGTGGAAAGCAGACAGGCATGGGGCTGCAATAGTAGCTGAGAGCTTACATCCTGATCCACAGATGGCAGACAGAGGGAAAGACAGACAGAGCCTGGTGTGAGCTTTTGAAAGCTCGAAGTTCAATCTCAGTGACACTCCTCCAGCAAGGCCACAGCTCCTAATCCTTCCCCAAAAGTTCCACTCTCTGAGGATTAAGCATTCAAATATATGAGCCTATGGGGGCCATTCTTATTCAACCATCATATCGTAGGAGTGGGCTACTGTCCAGGGAAGCTCTGTCTCGGGCTTTCTTTGTCTTGCCTTTGGTACCCTCCGCCATGTTATAATGCAGCACAGAACCCTCATCAGATGCTAGGATAATGCCAGCACCACGGTTTTGGACCTGCCAACCTCCAGAACTTTGATCAAATAAATTTCTACCCTCCCAAGTTACCCAGACTCAAATGTTTTGTTATAGCACCAGAAATCAGACAAAGATAATAGTGAAAGTCATCTTCTGGGAATGCAACCACAGACTTAATGATATATGGATGTAGGTGAGAAAAGCAGGAAAGAAAGAGAGAGGCCAGTTCATAGCCCAGAGAGAGAGAGAGAGAGAGAGAGAGAGAGAGAGAGAGAGAGAGAGAGAGAGAGAGAGAGAGAGAGAGAGAGAGCGTGCGGTCTTGCATAGAGGTTATCACCTCTGCACACGGCACCAATTTGAGCATATAGGTTGTTCTGGAACCAGAAGGGGCTTCTAATGGAAACCCCATGCTGTTCTTGCCTCTCACACAGAATATTTTCACAAATGCTAATCAGACAAGCATTTATTAAAAATCTCACAGTGAGATGAATCAGTAGCCAGAGACCCTTGCCACCTGAGTTTGATCCCTGGAACCCACACAAAGGTAGAAGGAGAAAATCAACTCTGACATGTCTTCTGACCTCTGCACACACAAGCCATCCCTCACACACGTGATAACACACATTATAATATCAATCAATTAAAATTTTCAACATGGAATCTCCTTACCCAGTCCATGTCTCCTACCTTGCCCTCATCCAGTGTTAAGTAGGGCATCATATATGAGCAGGGCGAAGGTGAATGGGGATGAGACCTCCCTCATAATCAGCAGCTTGTAAACCCAGGAATGAAGACAGCAAGACTTGGACTATTAGTCAAGACAATGATATCTAGGTTTATCTCTGGCCCCAGAATATCATGAAGACATAATATTCTGAACTTCCAGAAATTGCTTCCATCTTATTGACCTATGGGCATTTTTATGAGGCATTTTCTTCATCGTTAATTGATGTGGGAAGACTCAGCCACTGTGGACGGTTACTATCCCTAGGCAGGTGTGTCTGGGATATATAGAAAAGGAGGTAAATGTGAGCTTGAGAGTAAGCCAATAACCTGGTTCCTGTCTCTGTGTTCTTGCCTGGGCTTCCCTCAGTGGTAAACAAAAAGCTGTAGGATTAAATAAACCCTTTCCTCCCCAAGTTGTTTTGGCAATGGCATTTATCACAGCAGCCAAAAACAAACGAGGACAGCTCCGTACTCATGTGCTCACACAAGTGAGCACATGAGTGTTCAAACACAAGACACAGCTTGAGGTAGATCTAAGTATCTACGCTAGCCTGATGGCCTCCCTGAGCACTGTCCATGCTTACCCATCCAAAGTGTCTTCCTTCACAATGGTCCCTTTGGTCACAGTCTGCTCTCACCCTCAAAAGTACCTCATGCTGTTTTGTAATAAGCCCAGCCTATATCCTGTAACTACACCACAAGGATAGAGGAACAAAGGGGAGGCCAGGGTGAGTTCCTGGTGGCACCATGCCAGCTCTCAGCTCTGGAAATCCTACCCCGTATCACACTTACCCTCTCCTTGGGAACTCAATAGAGTGGGAGCTGCATCCTCTGCTCAGATGGAGATGCTAAATTGGAGCCCCAACTGATGTCTGGCCAAGTTAAGGCCAGCCCTGGTTTCTACCCATACTCCTTAAGAGAGCGCAGAGGGAAAGCTATAGATAACCAGTGGAGAGCTCACCTGTAGAAAAGCCCATTTTCTTGTGGCACTTGGTAAATTCAATATTAAAATAGGTGACGAGGGCATGGACGTAGTCGTTGCGCTGTATCTGCAGGCAGAAGGCAGATGTGAAGCTCAGCTCTTCCGTCTTCACAGTGTAAATGTCCACTTCCTGCAATCCGAAGGAGAGAGAAGCCACAGGCTTACAGCCTCTGTCATGCCAGGGCCCAGTAGCCTCACCCCTAGAGAAAATAGATTAGCTACTACTTTGCGGTGACTTCCAGTGGGAGGAGTAGAGAGGGGCTGAAGGTTGAGACAAGAGTGATCTAGGTAACCACACATCACCAAAGCAAGTTAGAGTGGCTTCCAGTGGCCAACCAAGCATTGCTACCTCCCCCTGGTCATTCTCAAAGTGTGGGTCACCCATGCTCAGCACCTTTATTACCTGGAAGAAAATTCTGAGTGGGGCAAGGGGAGTCAACACAGACCTACTCCATCAAAACAGCAGGGCCCTCCAGGGCCCCCATGAATCAGAGGACTCATTCCCTGACCCCCGCCATTTTTTTTTGTATTCAAGTTCTTCAAGTCAAGAACACTAAGTGTTACCTCAGGACTGAAGCATAAACTGGCTGGAGGAAATTCCACTGACCATTTATAACAAGACTGGACGGGTTTAAAAAATAAATAAGAGGGGAAAACACGAGGCAAGAAGTCTCAGTTTGGACTGGGCAAGCAGAGCACAAAGAACTAATAATTCTCACAAGTTCAGCTGGAGAGTGGCTGAAAATCGATGTTACATGGGGAGCCAGCTCAATGGAGAGACGGTTCTCCATGTGCTGCTCTTCTGTGTGTGAAGGATGCTGAGTAACCTGCTGTTCTTTGGCTGGCCTGAGGCAGGAGACCCTACTGGGGACTTAAGAGACATCCAGGCAGATGCCCGAGAAACTTCAAGAAGAACTTCCCTGGTGTTGGGGCGTATAGCAAGAACCACTATTTGGGGGATTCCAGGAGAGACAGCCAGACACCTGTGTGCCTGGTGGCTCTGGGAAGTGCTCCAAATGCCCAGCAACAAGCCCCATGAAGAGGCAGAATGTCACTGGGCAAAGGGCTCCGTCTCTCTGCTGTGTTTTAAAGAATCATTAGAAGGAAAGGGGTTGCAAAGGTCATAGGACTTGTAAAGATGAAACTGAGCCATGGAACCCAACCTGGTCTCAGTCCTGATGGCACCTGAGTGAGCCGCCATGGCCCTTGGAGAAGGGGAGATGCTCTCAGACTGGCCAGGAAGAGAGCAGATGCAGGGCTAGAAAGTGAAGCTCTGCAGCAAGCAGCTGGGTTGCAGGGGCAGATGGAGCCTTCCATGAGGTGGACACTGCCTAGTTTCTAGAGCCCAAAGATGGAGAATGAGAACTAAGGGGAGGGTGAACCTTGGGTCAGAGGGGCCTCTGTAGATGGTATCAAGCATCCCATCCATTTTGATAAGTGACACCTTGACCTTTGTGAACAGCCCAAGGATGCTGATCCTCTGCCCATCATACAATGCATTCTGGGTCCAGGCATCTTCAGCAGCAGTGGAGAGATCACAGCTGCTTTTCCTGACTTCCACCTACAGGGCAAGCTGAACCTCTGCTCCATCTGCCATAGAGGCCCTGCACCCTCATGCTGGGCACTCCAATGCTGCTGCTGGGTTCTGTCTGCATTTGATTCTGGCTCCACCCCACTTCTTCAGCAGAGACCCTGCCTAGAGTGTGGGCATTGTTCCAGGGTAGGAAACCACTTCAGAGGAGATGTCAGACTTTCTCAGTGCTCGTGGTCCCTCCAAGCCACACTTCATTCGCAAGTTCCCCGGAGCTCCAGAATTCCAGAGAATGCCTCTGGGAGCTGAGCAGTGACTGATGGTGCACATAAGCACTTGGTGACTTTTCTGCTTTCTCGTGCAGGTCCTCTCACTGTCCCCATACCTTTGATCTCAGCCACCAGCCCAGCTTCACTGCTGGCTCTTATGCAGGGGCCTTGTCACCTCCATCCTCAGCCCCTGCCATTAGAATGGATCCTTTTAGGGACCAGAGCTACACTTCATTGTCTTGTGTGTCCTTGGCATATAATTGAGCACTAACAGGTGCGTGGGCTCACCATTCTCCCAGAACAGGTTTCCCTGCCTGGAGTCCTTCCTTCCTTCCTTCCTTCCTTCCTTCCTTCCTTCCTTCCTTCCTTCCTTCCTTCCTTCCTTCCTTCCTTCCTGGGTTTCTTTCACAATCACTCACCCACTCAAACAATGTCACTCTTGGTCTACAACCTTCAATGACTCCCTATGACTTATACCCAGATCTTGATAATTTCCCCATCTATTACTTCCCTTTCTGTTTTGTCACCTTCAAAACACATGTGGACACACACACACACACACACATACATAAATGCACACATACACATACAGACACACATAAACACATATGCACACATTACTTAGTGGGAGCTTAAATAAGTTTCTACCTTCACACCCTTTAGTTGATTCCAAAGTCATTAATTTGGGAGACTCTGCAGCCATCAATGTGTTACAGGCTTCACACTGGCTGTGCTCCAAGTGACACTCTGAATGAAGCCACCCTGCTGTGTGAAAATTGCATTTCACTATCTAGCCTGACTGCAGTTGCATGTCTCTGGTCCTCCAGGAGAAGTGGTTTTCCTCTATCCCCTAGGGTCTTCCAGCAAAATAGCCTTTTGCCATCTTCCCCATTCTTTGGAGGAAATAATGCTTTCTATTTTATAATAATTAACTGCAGAATTAACTTCTCCTGGGTAATGGAGTTCCAAAAAAACAGGAGTCACACATTCATTTTGCTTGGTTTGGATTTGTTTTTGAGACAGGGTCTCACATAGACCAGGCTGGTCTCCAACTCATTAAATAGATGAACCTGGCCTTGAGCCCTGATCTCTGACCTTTACCTCCCTAGTTCTGGGATTCCATGTGTGTCCCACCATACCTGACAGAGGCTTTCTTATCAATGATTTTCCTTCAGATTTACAGAATCTAAAACAGCCACACACAGTGAACGGACGTTTCGATGATTAAATCTTTTGAATAAAAACCAGAGAAGAGTTTTTCACATCAGAGAAGAGCCCTGGTGCTTCGTATCTTGAATTCTCATGTTTCCCACACCAGCCTGCAAACCCAAAGCAAGACAATCTTGTTGATGTTCCAGACTTTTAGCCTTGCCCCAACAACCTGCTCTGGAGTCATTAGTTTCCCAGTGCTAAACAACAAACTTGTATTCACGGTAACACACACACACACACACACACACACACACACACACACACACACACACACACACAGCAAACCCTCTAGCAGGAATCCCATCTCCAAACAGTCTCTCAGACCATCCATCAACCAAATGTCATCTGTCGTGTCTTGTGCTAGCTGACAGTGTTCCATGGGTCCTGGAGATATTTGCATCTAAATGGGGGCCTCTGAGGAAACAAAAGGCTTCCAGGCAAAGGGCAATGAAGCTGTGCATTGAAGTGACAACAGCGGAGGCAGATGGGTCCCATCTGGGGCGATAGGATCAGACCTGGCTGGGCCTTGGGGACACAAAGCCCGGGGCTCAGGTGCATGCCTCAGTTCACAGCTCAGACACAGTCATCCCCACTGATGCCCCAGAGCCTAAGCGCTGTGGCTGGAAGGGTTCTTTGTCTCTCATCCTCTCATCCGTACCCTTGAGACCTCAAGGAAATTCACTGCCTTGGCCTTAGGCAACCCCAGATAAGACAGGGGGCCTCAGGGAAGGAGTTTCAGAAGAGCGCCTGGCCTCTGCTACCCTACCTCTCAATAATGTCACAAATAGATATCTCTAGGCAGGAGTCTGGTCAAAACAGAGGCTTAATTATAATAAAGTGTCACACTCAGCAGTGTTAATAGCTATGAAAACAGCAATTAAGTGTGTGAAGAAGGGCAAGTGTTTTCCCAGAAGGCTCAGTGAGATTCAGTGAGATGTTGGAAGGAGAGGGAGAGAGAGAGAGAGAGAGAGAGAGAGAGAGAGAGAGAGAGAGAGAGAGAGAGAGAGAGAGAGAGAGATTGGTGGAAGCCTGGAAGCCAGCATTGCAGGGGCAAACAGTCCCCCTCCTATCTCAGAAAATGCTAATGCTAGGAAGAGGTCACAGTGAGGCATTGGTAGTGGGTACAGGAGCATCGTTACAGGGTGAAGTCCCAAGACATCTTCAGAGCACTTCTGGGCTTGAAGGAGGAACAGATACAACACCTGTCCTTCCCCAGCCTTCTTGTCTAGTCTGGCTGCTTGGCACACAGATATACCCAAGTACAACCTGGTGGCCAAGGATCTTGTTGCCGAGGTACCCATCTAGGAAGAAGGGAAAGGAAGAGAGACGCATGGGGGGGGCTGGGAGTGTGGGAGACCCTAGCTGATCTGTGAGGCCACCAGCAGGTGACACACAGGAACACAGTGGCCATATTGCAGTGGGACTCTGTCAAGGAAAGAAGGCAGCCTAAGTGCCCCAGAACACTGATTTTATCTCCAAGCTAAAACTGCTTCGTGCAGGTGCCTGATGGTACAGTGACTGCTACATGTTGTTTTGGAAAACTCAATAACACTAGTTGCCTTCTACCTCTTCTGAAATCAATTAAAAAACAAATTAATCAATTTATCTGTTTGTTTTTGGTACTGGGGATTGAACTCTGCGCCTGGAACATGCTAGGCAAGAGATCTACTGCCGAGTTATTAAACTGAATTCTTCCCTCAAACTCTACCTTCTCCCTTAGGATCCTGGAACACAGAAACTAAAGACCTCAGATCGTCCTCTGAATTTTGAGGGGTGTATCGTGTCCTGAGAATGAGCATCCTCCAATCTCCTTGCTCTTGTTCAGAGTTCTAAGAGGGAAAGGTTTCAGGGGTGTGAGTTTATAGGAAGAGGTGGGCATATTTCCTCATAATGGCTCCTGCCAGCACCATGGAAGCAATGAGTTAGGAATACTGTGAAATGAGAAGTCAAGACTCAGGCCTGAAGCCAGACCTCATAGGCAGGCCGCTGCAAAGTGGGGGTCATCAGGTGAGACCTTGCCCAAGTAGCCCTTCCCAATGCAACAGGGGTGGCCAGGGCCAAAGACTGTAGTGGATCCTGCGTTGCCAAATAAAGGGAGGGAGGGTTCTTTGTGTGAGCAAGCAGCTGCCTTTCAGAAACTTCCCTTCAACTTTGGGGGCCATGAATTGGTCCTTACTTCTGCTAGAAAGGTTCCAAGCCACCAGTCCCAGAGCAGACAAGGATGCCCCAGTGTAAGATACGAGAGACAGGTGGGCTGATGAGGCTTTATACCACGGGTCTATACCAGAAAATGAACTTGCATCCTATGAAGTGGATGCCTTTCAACCCAAAGTACTAGAGGTAGTCACATGTCAGTTGTATCTGCTTCAATGTCATGTGTTAACACATAGCAGTGAAAACATAGAAGGAGGACTAAAAGGATCCAGCTGGTGTAAACAGTGGTGGCTCCTGGGAGGAGCTGGGACGGGAAAAGCAGTGGGGGTGGGCTCAGTGCTTAGGGTTGCTCTTTGTAATTTGTCATGTTTGGGTTTTTAACAATAATGGATTCAAGATGCTGACTAGCTAGTCATGTACACCGAAGAAACCCTTACAAGAAAGGATTTCAAGCCGGGCGGTGGTGGCACACGCCTTTAATCCCAGCACTCAGGAGGCAGAGGCAGGCGGATCTCTGTGAGTTCGAGGCTGGGCTGGACCGACAGCCTCCAAAACAATACAGAGAAACCTTCTGTCTCGAAAAACCAAAAAAAAAAAAAAAAAAAAAAAAAAAGAAAGAAAGAAAGGATTTCAGACTCCAGGACAAGGCTGGAGGACTGTCTATGCGAAGCTGATGTGTGCAGTCTGGGAGGTCTGTCCCAAGGTGGACACTCAGCTCTGAATTGTGCCCCACTATCCCGAGTCCCCACATTCCTGCTGCCTCCCAGCAGTTTTCCAGGGCCACCACTTTGGGTCCCGCTTCCAGCAGTGCCACTCTGGAGTCATCTCAACAGTTCTGCTTAGTACAAACATTAGCTTTTGACTTGTCACCAAGCTCTGACCAAAGTGGCCTTGGTGCCCTCGATGGGGAGCTATGCAGAAACTGACATTACATGGCTTTCCAGAGTGGCACAGCTGGGTCCTTTGCATACCCAGGCCCAACCCAGATGAATCTCCAGACCTTTATTAAACAGGCATTGGTCACCACTTGCTTGGGGTCCACGATGTCCACCAGGGGCTCCTTCATGGCAACATCTCGGATACAGGTCATGTCAAAGCCATAGACGTTCTCCCACCCTGAGGAAACAGAGTGAGTCATGAAGGCGGGTAGTAGGAACCCCAGCTCCCCCACGCTCCGGGGTGCTCCAGCCCAGCCTGCCTAAGACATGGGAGCAGGGTGAAGCCTCTGTTCCCTTCAATCAGAACACTGTAAGTACCACTCCTACAAGGGGAGCAGGGCGAAGCCTCTGTTCCCTTCAGTCAGAACACTGTAAGTACCACTCCTACAAGGGGAGCAGGGCGAAGCCTCTGTTCCCTTCAATCAGAACACTGTAAGTACCACTCCTACAAGGGGAGCAGGGCGAAGCCTCTGTTCCCTTCAATCAGAACACTGTAAGTACCACTCCTACAAGGGGAGCAGGGCGAAGCCTCTGTTCCTTCAGTCAGAACACTGTAAGTACCACTCCTACAAGGGGAGCAGGGCGAAGCCTCTGTTCCCTTCAGTCAGAACACTGTAAGTACCACTCCTACAAGGGGAGAAGGGCGAAGCCTCTGTTCCTTCAGTCAGAACACTGTAAGTACCACTCCTACAAGGGGAGCCTTGCAGTGAACGATGGCTCCTTCACACTGTGTCATTCACACCTCTAGAAAAGGCAAGCCCCATTGTGTGACATCAGCCAGAAGTCAGAGAGGCTGTGAAACTTCTGGACGTTCACACATCTAGAAGGCAGCAAGGCCAAGGCCCTTACACACACAGGACCTGTGACTTGGGGCACGCGCTTGCTACCTCCTTTCCAGGACATTTACTTTCCTATTCTGGGCCTTCGCTCAAGCTTCCTGTCCCCAAGGGGCTATCTGAACCTTTAATGCAGATGAGAGAAACACGGGTCCTTGCACTGGGCAGACTCCTGCCCTGATCTCTCAGAACCCCAGCTTGGGATCCAGGAAGGAGCTCACTTTACCCCCATGCCATCAGTCTGAAAAGCAAAAAGCACTCACTGAGGGTTCACTTCATGAGACATCACCCTATGTGTGTGTGTGCGCGTGTGTGTGTGTGTGCGCGCGCGTGTGTGTGTGTATGCCTGTGTGTGCGTGTGTGTGTGTGTGTGTGTGTGTGTGTGTGTGTGTGTGTGGCCGGGGGGAGAGGAAGCAATCACTCTTACAGGGCTCTGGGCCTCTTGGACGACTCATGAGATGCTTTGGGAGGAAGAATTAGGGTGCAGGAGTTGTTAAGTGCATTTGGGTCTGATAACTTAAGACAACCCTTCAGTGGTGGAGCTAATTCCTATTACAGATCAGTCACCTTTGCCTAAGATACCCAACAACCCCTTAAGGGTACCTCCAAGCTACAAATAAGAAAACTGACTCGGATAAGTTGGCATCTGGCTCATAAACAAAACCTGACCTAAAGTCACACACCAGCCTAGTGACACCAACGTGGAGGTAGGAAAAGCATCAAGCTGACCCCCCTAACCCTCCAGCTGTGTCCCAGTGTAACAACAGCCAGGCACACAAAGTTCTCCCTCCCAAGAGGAGGGCCTGGTCCCAGGCTTTGGTCCCTGGGAGCTGGATCTCATATATCTGTTTATTCTGAAGGGTTCATAAATGCTTTGAAGTAAAGATGTTTTTGTCTAAAATCTTATTAAATGTAAATTTTCTTTTAGTGTTCACCACACAAATGGTGCCTTGGGGAACTTAGGTCTGTGTGTGTGTGTATGTGTGTGTGTGTGTGTGTGTGTGTGTGTGTGTGTGTTGAAGAGAATGGGTATGGGAGAGGGAGGTGTGAATGGCCAGTGAAAAGAATTGCTGGTCTTTCTAAGGTACACAAAGATCTCTGGGGTGGGGGTGGGGAGAAGCAGGCAGAGAGAACAATCATTTCCCCCAGGGAGAGGGCTGGTGAGTTCCTGCTTGCAGAGAAGATGCTGGGCATGGCCCATTCAATCACAGGAGACTGCTGCCAAACTCCTGGCTGAAACCAACATTGTGGGGGCTGGGAAGTAGCTCAGCTGATACAGTGCTTGTTTGACATGATGAAGGCCTGGTTTCCATCTCCAGCACTGCATAAAACTAAGTGTGGTGGAATCTATGATCCTAGCACTCAGAGGTGGAGGTAGGAAAACCAAGAGTTCAAGGCCAACCTTTGCTATATAGTGAGTTTCAAAGCTAGCCTACCTAAAGACTCTGTCTCTAAAATAGACAGACAGACAGACAGACAGACAGACAGATAGATAGATAGATAGATAGATAATAGACAGACAGACAGACCACCTTGTCAGATCTAGCAGCTATTCATTCCCTTCCCAGATGTACTGAGGCACACCGCCTTAGGATTAAATCCCTCCATTAAGAAACCTGAAGCTAGCCGGGCGTTGGTGGCACACACCTTTAATCCCAGCACTTGGGAGGCAGAGGTAGGCGAATCTCTGTGAGTTCGAGACCAGCCTGGTCTACAGAGTGAGTTCCAGGACAGCCTCCAAAAGCCACAGAGAAACACTGTCTTGAAAAACAAAACAAAACAAAAAAAAAGAAACCTGAAGCTGCTCACACGTCCCTGTACCCCCTCCCTCCAGGAAAAGTTGTGTGATGGTTGTTGGCCTGGGTGTTTGTGATGCAAATCAGGTCTTCTGTTTGTTTGCTGTGTAACTTTACAAAGTCATGAGATTCTCTAAGCCTCAATGTCTGTTTCTTTAAAATAGAGCTGTTGGTGATAATAATGGCTACTCCCTGGGGCCCTTATGAGCAAAGTGCCTGAGACAGTGCCAGGCGCAAAGAAAGACCTCTACATGTGGCAGTTGTCGTTATGCTGTATGAGCGCAGGGCTGAGCAGCCCTGTGCAGACCAAGCCTCTTCTCCACTATTGTTTGTAAAAGGAAGGGTTCGTCTCAGTGTCTGTGTGTTCTAGAATCATCTGGAATACTTTTTAAAGTGCAGCTCCTGGGCTCTGACCAGACCTACTGGACCAGAATCTCTAGGCGGGAGATTCAGGAGGCTGAACTTTCACAAACATGGTCATTCCACCCAGAGTTGGAAAAACCTTCATGTTGCTTGATGGTCTGAGGTTTTTTTCATGTTGTAAATTGTGAACTTAAAATCTCACAGCATTTGTGAACCCTTTCCCAGCTACTGGGTCCCCTTCTGAAAGGTTCAGGCATTACACTGGCCTGCCCTGTTACCTGGCAGGATGCACTCAGGCAACACTCTGGCCAGCCCAGAGTTCTGTGAGAACCACGCAGGTGCAAAGGACCCCTTTAAAGGACTGACCCCTGCCTGCTTAGGCTCTCTTGCACTCTTCTCTCTCTCTCTCTCTCTCTCTCTCTCTCTCTCTCTCTCTCTCTCTGCTCTGCACAGGTTGGTTACCTGTCACCCCCCCTTTCCCTCCTTGTCTACCAATAAACTCCACGTGGGATCGTTGAGTCACGGTCTGTGTCTCCTTACTGGATAAACCTAAACATTACAACAACACCTTCCACGTCCATGGCACCCACAGCATCTGGCACAGCACGGGCCTGCAGCCGACTTTTCAAGCTGAAGGTTTTCAGAGATGAATGATGTCTGTCTTTGCAAGTGCCTTGTCCTCTAGTTACCTTTACTGGGGCTAACTGATGTCGTATGTTCCCAGCTAAACTGTCCCACTCCAGTCATTCAGTACCAGAGCATCCAGGACCATCAGAAATGCATTTTCTTGGTTCTGCTGACCATTCATTTTCCCACTAGGCTCTCTTGATGGAAGTGAAGCAGAAATGGGAGGTTGTGAACCAGGCATGCTAATCTTCTATTGCAAGGGTACATTGTCTGTTGAAGAGCTGCCATTATTTATCTAAAGTAACATCAGAGGGCCCTGGAAATCTTTTGGTGATACATTAACATTAATTCTCAAACAGACGGTGATATATCACAACAAATGTTATTAAGGCAATCTGAAAGCCCATGACGGCCAGCCCATTTGACTGAAGCACCTATTCCAAAAGTCTGTCAGAGGAAAAAGTCTCTTGTCTGGGTATAAATATCCTTTGTCTCTCCATGCTGCCTTTTTAATACTCGATGCCCAGCAGCAGTGAAGAATTATATGACACTGAAAAGGGCACACATACAACCTACCATCCGAAGAGAAGGAATAGGGCAGACTCGGCCATAACTCAGATGTTGGAATTGCTCAACAGAGACTATGGAGTAACTATAGCAAACACATTAAGGAATCCGGTGGGAAAGGTAAAGGTTGTGAGACAGATGGGTAGGAGACTTCATCAGGGAGAGAGAAACATGTCTTTAAAGGCCAAAGAAATTCTCCAAACGAGAATCATGCTATCAGAGAAGAGTTCCTAGAATCAGCTTGTTAGTGGAACGGATGGACACACTGAGGAAACCATAAACCTAAAACCAGTTCATTAAAAGTAACCCAAAACTAAACACAGCAAGGAAAAACAGCTAGATATAATATCAAACACATTTTAATGAAACTCCCAGAAGATGAGGAAGATGAGACAGAGAAACATACACATTTGTATGGATGACGGATGAGATAATCAACCTACAGACCCAAGTGTCGTATTTAACCCCAACTAGGATGCATATGAGGAAATTTAACCACATTCAGGAAGCATATGAGGAAAACACACCCAGAGAAATCCAGGTAAAACCTGAGAGGGGGAAAGGGAGAGAGAGGGGGAGGGGAAGAAGAAGAAGAGAGAGACAGAGAGAGAGAGAGACAGAGAGAGAGAGAGAGAGAGAGATGCATACTAGAAAGACATATGCACAAGAAGGTAATGTCTCAAAAACAACCAAAGAAACAAATGCAAATTCCTGGGGAACAAACAGAAAACACATCGGAAAACGCAGCACCTGACCCTCCTCTCTCTGGCCAGAAAGATCTGAGTTTCTCTGTGAGGGCTGAAGACCAGGATTACTGGCTCAAGAGGAAAACAGGGTGCCTCCAGGCCCCACATACAGCCTCACTGTGCAGAACGGAAGATACTTATACTACCCCCATGCGTTTTAGCCTGCCAGCAGCAAAGTGAACAACAGTGGGAAAACCACACATAAAGACATATAGGTCCAAGAGCAGAACTCTGGATTAGGGGGGGTGGAAAAACCAGCTGCAGGCTCTGCCTCTACACCAGGACTTCCTTCTCAACTGGCTGGAGAGTCTAGTATTGGGTGATTTGTGGCAGGGATGAACCGGAATATACAAGCCAACTTTGAGACTGCCGGTGTCCTCTGCAGTAGGGCATGGTTTTTACTGATTGCCCCTCTTTCAGATTCAAACATGCCTGCACATTCCTCTGATGTGTTATTCTTTGCTTTGTCCAACAAAACATGCACATGAGCCAGTGCAGGTCAGGCACCCAGTCCTTCAGGCCAGGTTCCCTTTTAGCTGGTCAATAGAGTAAGGGCAGGGCCTGTACTGTGTTGTATGCTCGAGGCTGAGATGGGGGAAGGGGGAGCAGGAGAGGTGAAAGGTGATGGGAAAGAAAGCTTTCCATCTCAACAGTTTACTTTCTGTAGGGCTGGACAAGCCCCACATTTACATGGTTCCTGTGGTTCTTGGGCCAATTGAAATTTGCCTGTAACTGTTCCCTTGGCAACCAGCAACCAAAAGCTGTTGTTTAAACACGTTTCTCTAAATGGGCCTGTTTCCTTTAGCTAAAAATGTGTCTTTGAAAGAAAAACATTTAAGTGGGAAACTTAACCGTATCCTAAATAAAATACAAATGTTAGACTCTTGCTCTTTGGGAATTTAGGGCTTTTAGTGTTGTTTGATGTTGCTTTTGTTTTTTTGCTGTGGTGCTGGAGATTGGAGTCAAGTAAGTACTCTACCATAGAACTACAGTGTCAGCCTCTTTAAGAGGTAAACACTTTATAAGGAAACAAATGGGGCCTGACTTATGGTTTTTTTGATTGATTGTTAATTTGTTTTCCCTTTGCCAGAGCTGTAAAGGCAGCAACAGGAACTGCAAGAATAAATTACACACTCTCCAGTTCTGGGCTGTACCCTAAGTAGCAGCCACTGTCCCTTCCTCTAATGGGTTCAGAGAGGCTCATTGCAATGTGCTTGCTCCAAGGGCTCCCAACAGGTTCCAGGGAGGGAAATAGGGAGGAGGTTGCTTTGTTCTGGAAACTAGAAGGCAGCTCAGTAAAGAGCTTTCCTAGGAACTCGATAAATATTTAAGTAGATGTGTGTGAAGAGTGTGCTGGAATGTTCTCCCCACACGCTGCTCAGGGCAATTACTCCTCGCAAGCTCCACAGTGTCGTTCTGGGGTGATCTGCATCCTATTTGCACACACTTGACTACTGCTCACTGCTCAGTGGCTTCTTCAATCTTCTATAGGGAGATGCATGGCCCATATTCCAAGCCACCAGAGGCCAGCCAGCAAGCTTGCTGAGCCTGGAGCAGTACAAGATGCTGGTTTACTCCTTCAGAGGCTAGACCTGGCCTATTCCTACACGTTCCACAAACTGTGGTGTTCTTTGGCATATATCATCTGATTTAGTCTTTGCGAATCACTGAGATTGAGGGCATCACCTCTCACTGGGGCTCAAAGTCAGGTACCACACTCAAGGTTACTCAGCCAGTGAATGGCAATGCCCACATTTGGAGCCCTGGGCTTGGCAGGCGTCAAAGCATTCACCCAAGGCACCCCACATCTCCTGACTTTCATTTAGAGACCTGCCTCCTGCTTTCTTGGGGTCAAATATTAGCAAACGCAGTGACCTAGAAGGCTCCAGGGCATAGAGCTTCATGGCACTTGCCCATTTCCACTTCTGAACTTTGACTCTAAACTTCACCCTTTGACCTTCAGCTTCCAGAAGAGTGTGTTAACCCTCCACAGCCATGTCTCCAAGCAGGAGTAAGCAGCCTGGTGGGGGGTGTGTGAACCTGGACATATTGACTGCTGTGCAACTTATAGCTCCTGCCTCCTTCTGGTTTGGATGCTGGTGTGCCGATTGGTCAAAGGGCTCTTTACTCCATTGTCATGTGCAGTTCCAGGTGACATGGCCACGTCTCACCTGACAGAAATATACTGGAAACCAAACACAAGACCCATGCACTAAGAAGTAAAACTTTTAAAATGAAATGGAATAAATTGGTCCTTTAGAGCCAGATAAAATATTGACAAGGATGTTATTTTTTTAAGTTGTTTTTGTCTTGTTTTATTTTGAGACTGGTCCTTATTCTGTAGCCCAGGCTGTTACTGAACTTGAGTTAATCCTCGGGTCTCAGTCTCCTGAATGCTGGGATTACAGGAATGAGCTACCATATTTGCTTTTGTTTGGAGTTATGTAAAGCCCAGGCTAGCTTTAAACTTATGATCTTCCTACTTCGGCCTCCTGAGTGTTGGGCTATAGCAATGTACCCACACAGAGCCATTTGGCCTGAGAGAGACACTATTGTAACTTGTAAGACATGGATACGTATTTACATATGAGCCTCCCTCCCTCTCTCCTCTCTCTCTCTCTGTCTCTCTCTATCTGACTGAGAGTCTCTACTCCTTCCCACCTCATTGTACATATCCTTAGAGGAACTTCAGAGAAGAATCCATATTTTACCTAATGTGATGCAGAGTCATAGTGATTTTGACCAATCTGATAGACATAGAGGCATGTTTCAAAATGGCTGGCTTGGTGTGAGACCTTCCACACCTGGCCTGACACCCCAAGCCACCTGCCTTGCTGTTCTCTGCACAAACACAATTCCTACTGCTCCAGTTCCACACCCCATTCTCACTTCCCAGATGTGTTACCCCTCACTAGCTACACTGTTCACGTATTCTCTGTAGACCTCCCACTCTTGGAGGTAGTAGGAAAGACTCCATAGAATAACCCAGAAGGATCACAGATAAACCCTCCCAGGACACCAGCTGTCCGCCCTGAAGTTTCTCTCACCCCCAGCACACAGCAGAAGTTCAACAAAGAATCGTAAGGTGACTTACAGTGGATTTTGAAGTCCTTGTACTGTCTGTCTTCGATTGCTACCACGTATAAAGCTGCCCGGTCTGGAAACATAAGCCCTCCAGGTTTCTGTTGATGAATTGTGGGGAAATGGGTCTCGTAATCTATTCACCTGACAAAGACATCACATTTTGAACTGCACATAGAGTCACCAGACAAGCACCCCTTGGGCAGCATTTCTCACTTAGTGGATGGACAGCTTGGCTGGGCATGGCAGCAGCATGTCCTAAGTTGGGGGGATCTTAGGAGCCCAGGTGGAGCTGACAGGACAAGTGGGGTGCAAAAGGCAAATCAAGGAGGGGCAGAGAACCAGCCTGAGGCTCGGCGAAGCCATGGCAAACAGCGCCCCTGGCTCTCTCTGGCATTCTTAACAAGAGAAAACGGGTTTCTGCTCTAGTCAGAGGGGACAGAGTTAGACCTACTGTGGTTACACATTCTGACAGCTGAGCATGTTGGACCAGGGTTGACCACTTGGTCCCCTGAAGCAACTGTGCTTTTAAGAGAGGACCACAGCCCCTTCTTCTGTGAAATTTTCATATTCCTCCCAGGTGGGAGGCTATGGGAAATGTGGCAAGACAGCCATCAACGTAATGAGGGGACAGCATGCCGACCACTTACCAACCACTTGTCCCTGGCAAAGATCACCGTGTTGAGCATGGACTCATAGAACAGACAGTAGCCCATCCACTCGCTGATGATGATGTCCACTTTCTCCACTGGCAGCTCCACCTCCTCCACTTTGCCCTTAAATATGGTAATGACTAGAAAACAAGAACCCAGAGCCGTGCTGTGCCGGGACCCCTTGGGGCTGTGGGCTCCTTGCTACAGGGCTGCTGACTTTTGAGCCCCATTCTCATCCGACGTGTAGGGTGTGACTTACCTTATCCTGCATCAGAGGAACTTATTAGTTACTGAAAATGCTAACATCTTTGAAAGCTGCTTGAGTGTGTCCCTCATCAAAAGTACCGGACGATTACTATGCACTTGCCCCTGTGCTAAGCCAGCAGAATACAGTGTCATGTAATGTGCCTTAAGAACTAAGCACATTATCATCATCATCGCCTTCTCTTACAGCTAAGGAAACTGAGGTCTCGAGGTGAGATGATGGCAGTGGAAACAGAGTCCAGGTCAGATAGAATGGGACTGTAACTGTCCTACTGTGCACTCCCTGCTCCACGTGAGGTTACCATGACAACTTAGACCTGAAACAAGCAAAGGACACTGCATGTGTTGCTCTTGTATCTGTGTGTAGTCAATGCCTTGTATTCAGTGGGTGCCCATCGAATGTCTGTGAAGGAGGCAAATTGGTGTTTTGACAAGACCATGGACTCAGCAGACAGAGAAACCCAGGGTTAAATGCTGGGTCTTCTAATTAGCTGTCTGATTTTACACACATCACATTGGCCATGCAATTCCCATCCAATTCCCCAAAGAATACCAGAGAGCATGAGGTCTTTTGTCAGCCTGGCTGTGTTGAGGGAATGAAACAATACCTAGCAAGTGACAGTCCTGTAGCTGAGGCTCAACAGAAGGCAGACATAGCAGACATGTTCCTTATTTAACAATATATGGAGATAAGAAAGGGACAAGTGCCCTCCACCCCGTGAGAAGTGACATCCCATCCCATGGCAGCAGGAGAATTGTCTTAGTTGAAGTTTTGATCAGTTGACCCAGAAGGACACATCATTTTTGTATTCTTTGATGCACAGATAGAGCACAAAAGTGACCTTAGGGTCTCTGCGACACTGGAAGGGTGTTGTGCCAGTTGCCTGGTCCCTTCTTAACATCTTTGCTGAAAGGTCACACACTTTCATGCTCTGAAACCCTCCTTCTGTGGCAGTCCCTGGAAAAATCACGCTAACAAAACTCAACAGAAGCCCAGACCTCAGAGTCACAAACCACATAAACTGCCTGTCTTGAATCCAAGGCAATTAATTTGGACTGGAGTCTCATCTACAGCAAAGGGCACACAGGCCAGGGCCTTTGTTTAGTGCCTTCCCAGTTAAGGGCGCCATCAACAGCTCCTGATGGTGACTCTCTCTCCACCCCCTGGTTAATCAAGGCTTAATCAGATTTTATAAGTGTCAGAAACTATTCACATTCACCCACCCCCATCACCTACCACAGAGGCCTATGTGCCCTGCCTGGTCATTGTTTGTGACCTCTATCCCCAAGAAGGAAGAGCAAAGCAAGGCCAGACTTCTCCAAAATTTTTGGAACAAATGGGAGAGACAAGTGTTAAGCATGTGGTTTTGGAGGAACCTGAGACCACAAAGAAAGAATTCAACTAAGAGAAGAGACCCATGGTACACCTTGAGAATTCACAAGGGAACAAAATCAAGGGCTTTGGAAAGTGCTCACATAGTCCCTAATTTATTTCTCATTCTGAAAAAGAGCCAAAAAGTACACCCATGCCCTTCTGCCTGACTAACAGCTTGCAAAGCCTGGCTTGTTTTATTTTTGTCAACAGTTTACACTGTCTAATAGCCTTCCTTTTTGTATTTTCTTTGTACATCTCCTAACGCTTATGTACAGCTGTATAGCTTTGACTTACTTTGCCATCTTGTAATTCGGCATGGCCTCCATTTGGCGTCAGATAAGACTCCCTTCTGCCTCTGGGATCCTATAGCCCCACTCTGGGTGCTTAGTAGAAGGCTCCAGCTAGGATGAGCTCAGAAGGAAACTACGTAGGGAAGAAAGGGTTTATTTTTGGCTCACAGTTTGAGGACATAGTCCATTTACAGGAAGTCATGAGCAGGAACGCGAGGCAGCTGGTTACATTGCATCTGCAGTCGGGAATCAGAGAGATGAACACTGGTTTTTAGTTGATTTTCTCTTTTTATTCAATGCTGGATCCTGGCCCATAGAATGGTGCTAGTCACACTTAAGATGGGTCTTCCCACATCAATTAGTCGAATATAGAAACTCCCTCATAGACATGTCAAGGTGACAGTCAGTATTAACTATCACCCATACACAAATGCATGTATGTAATATATGTATTATCTGTCTATCAATCTCTATATATCTGTGTTCTATCTAAGTTGTCTACCTATCTGCATGCTTATCTATTATAACCCATACTTATCAGAATACGGTAGCTAATGAATAAGAAGGCCAGAACAGGGAGCCAGGGAACAGGAAAGTCACCCAAGGAATATTCCATGCCCGTGTTTATCAGACTAGACTAAGAGTACACATCATCTGTTTCCCATAGCTTCATCATCAACTTGACTGGATTCAGAATCAACATGGAACCACACCTCTGGGTGTGTCTATGATGATGTTTCCAGAACTATTTAAGGAAGAGGAAAGGCCCACCTGGATATGGGCAGTCCTATCCTATGGACTCGGTTCCCTGGTGGATGAAAGGGAGAAAGGACATCTGCATTCATCTTCCTCTGCTTCCTGACTGCAGATGCAAATGACCTTATTCTGTTGCCACACCTTCCCTGCCCTGATGGAGGCTGGCCTGGAACTGTGAGTCATAAATTCTTTCATCCTTATGTTGCCTGTGTCAGGGATCTTGACACAACAGTGAGGGAAGTAACCAGACCCAAGTCACCAGAGACACTGTCTTGATGTCTATAGCCAATACCTGTAACAACTCAACATCCGTGTTCAGTTTCATAGGCAGCAAGATGTGGCCTCCTATGACAGGGCGTATGTTGGCTGCTTGGGGCTATTGGCTCACATAGAGCATGAGGCTGGCTCACAGGACTGTGTAAGCATACAAAGCTCTATTTCCCTTCTTCACAGAGAGGCCTTTGGAGGGATAGAAGCAAGTGTCCCCAAGGCTCAGAACAGCTAGGCTGCAGCTCCGCTTGCCCAGTCTGGACCCCACATCACCAGGGCAGCATCAGCTCAAGGTGGCTTTGAGGTCGCTATCTGGAGCTGTGTTTTCAGATCATAAGTATGATGGAAAGTTTGTTTGACTAGCTGTGACAGGACCCTGGCTCATAAATTTCACAGTGATTAATCATAGCTAAATGTACCACAGAGAGCTATAGGTTCTAACTTGGGAGCTTTTACCCTGTGGCTTCAGTTGGAAAACCAGACAACCACAATTCAGTTGTTGTTGCTTTTAATGGGATTTTTTCCTTTTTTATTGAGTGGTTATTATAAAGTAAATCTGAACAGCCTAACCAGATTTGGGATTTCAGTGTATCCATCAAAATTAGATGGTCCCATAAGGTCTGGAGCTCACGGTCTGCCATTTAATTTTATTTTAATTATCTATTTGTTTTTATTTTGATTTACTTACTGTGTTGGTTTTTAGATAGGATCTCATACTGTAACCCAAGCTGGTCTGGAACTCACTATGTATCCTGGACAAACCTCAAACTTATGGGGAATCCTCTGCCTTTCAGCCCCTTGTAAATGCTAGACTATAAGTATGAGCCATCCTGCTCGTCCAGGAGCTAATTCTGTCCCATGAAAAGTGAGCAGTGAGGTCATATTTCCCAGGACAGGAAATGCATTATGAGTCATGAAGCGCCCAAATCTGTCATTGTAACCACACCAGAAGCCCTCTCTCTGTGTACTTTGCTTACTCTTCTGTCTTTTGAGAGTAACCCCTACAGTCACCATTATGCTGCTTAGGCATCAGCCCATGACACTCTCTCCCAGTGGCCTATCTTGACTTCCCATTTCCAATATCTGGTAGATATTCTAAACATCTTCTCACATGAATGGATAGACGAATAAGCAATTAAAAACAAACAAGCAAAACCTGGGCATTGGTTTAAAAGACCAAAGAGCTGCAAACCAGTCCTTTTTTGTACTAGTAAAAATGATCAATATTTGAAAAGCAGCTTGAAGAGTGGTTTCACATGAACTTAACCTGACTCCCAGAGACAGTGTGGCTGCTTTCATCTGCCTACTAAGAGACCTGGGGTCTAGAAGAGTCAAGTTATAGAGCCCAAACCAGGCTCACTGGGTCGCCTGAGCAGCTCACGCAGCCGCAGTGAGGCTCCTGCCCCTACCTTGTGATTGCACCTTCCACCACCTGGAGTGTGTGCATCGAGCAAATGCTTGAGAGGTGGAAAGGGAAGAAGCAGGAGAAGGGAAGGGCTGTCCTGTCCTCCTCAAGCCTGCTCACACAAGCAGATGAGGGGAAGACAGAATAAAGGTGGGCAGTGAGGCTTGGTCAGAGCTACCGGTCTTCCTTAGCATCAGCCCATGCCTTGCTTCTGTGGTCCGTGTTCTCCAGAGCCTAGGCACTCAATAAATCTCTCTCCCACAGAATCAGAGCCTGCATACCACAATGCACTGGTGATGAAGACAGAAACCATCAGAGGCTTCATCTGCATGTCTAGTGGCCCTGCACCAACAGATTCCATTATAAGTGGCACTGGTGGGCCCTGGGTACCACGCAGCCTCAGTGTGCTGCATACAGCAAAATGGTACCCTCTCCTGGTCCAAATCCCTATTCACCTGAGAACGGGGAGCTTGAGAGTCCACCCTCTCCCAGGGCATGCTTCCTATCCTAACCAGCTGCAGATCTCAGCAGGACCTGGGCGACTAGTCTGCTAAACTGGGGCTCTGAAGACCTGCTGGCTCTAGCCAGAGGCCTTTCTAACCAGGTACAGCATCCATCATAATGCTCCCTTCATCAAAGTCATCTGATGATTTCCATCTACCCCAATCCATCCCTGAGCAGTGAGGAGGACTGAGAGGGTCAAGACTGCTTAACTCCCAACACACTGGTGACTATGCAGGCCTGGCACACATAGTCATTGAGAAAAAAATTGCACCTGGC